GCAATCTCACACAATGTTCAGTCAAAGACATCAGGGCAGTGTATTACAGAGAGATGTTCTTGCTTTCTGATCATACAATAAGCCCATATGGGGATCAACAGTATCACAGTGAGGAACTGGGGCTGCCAATCCCACTGTTGTTAAAATGGAATCCCTTGATAGACACATTATTATTCCATAGCTCATTTTAGCAAATAGTTTGTACATATCATAATATTTCAACAAGTTCTTACAATAGTCAGAAGTGGTTTAAAAAACCTCTTGATTTGGGATGATGAAGAAACTGAAGAAAATTAAGTACTAAGAATAAATAGTCTACTGTCAAACGTACACAATAAGTTGTCTACTGTCAAACGTACACAATGATGCCCTGAATCTATGGCAACCTTAATTGCTCTTCAGTCAAATGCATCAAATTCAAATCCTCAATCTATTCTAATGCACCTGTCCTCTAGCCTACAGTCCATAATGTTCATGTAGAAAAGCCCTCATGCAACGCTGCTCTGATGTCCTCTTCAGTGCTGATGATGGGCTTGGGTAGGCGTTGGCTGGCCTGAGTCAGACTTGGGTAGACCTGGGCCTGCATGGCTCTACTGGACTCAGAGCTGGCCCGGAGGGGACGCTCCCTTCAACCTGCTGTCGATCACTTTAATTTTGGCAGACACATGGGGTCTGTGCAGAGTGAGCGGCAGCCTACAGGGCAAACCAAGGCCTCTCAGGTGGCCATACATGCTCTGTTCTCTCAGGCCTCCTCACCATTGTCCTGCTCTGCCATTCACTCCCCTGCTCTAAGCATCAAAGGCAAGGCTGTCCCTTGCTTTGAAAAGCTATGGGCTATTCAGAACTAACAGTATTTAGAACATTCTGCACTTGGATAAGAGATCAGAAAAATAGATGGATGGGGGGTGGGATGTGGGGGACTTTAAAAAGCACAGAGTAAAAGTGGTACCACTGACAAATGTGACAAAATAAGTAACGAAGGTGGGGGGAGAGAAATGTGGGCTAAAAGGCCGCCTTATGTATTTTGAATAGGGCACGCTGAATGTGTGTGACAAATAGAGAATGTGTGTGTGCGTGTGTCCGTGCACGTGTTAGGGTGTTCTGTAGCTGAAGAGAGGCAAACAGACAGGCCGCATGGTGGTCGTGTTGAGGGGCAGGTGAGGGGCAGGAGATCTGACAGGCTAGACGAACTCAGGAGGCCTTCAGGACACAAACACTGGCTGACAAAAAGACTTACTCAGGAATATATTTAAAAAAGCTCTTTCTGCAGTCCATAGCACAGGAATGCTGCATCACTTTCACAGACAATGTTTTCCTCTTCGTTGACATTTCCTCAGCAAACTTTTCCCAAGACACTTGGTTTTCCTCTGAGCACATTTATATAAAACAGCAAGGCAGATATGAACCATGTCATCACCATGCTTTGACACGTCTTAAGACATATTTGTGAAGACATCTTGAGACATCTTAAGACATGTCTGGGAAAACATATCTCCTGATGATTTAAGATGTCTTTAAAAAGTATCTGTGTCTCAAAATGTCTGTAGACGTCTCAACTTTGTTTCTTAACTTAAGACATCTCAAGACAGTGATGGCTGGTATACTGATTACATTTTCCTTTGCATGAGCTTGAACAGTGGTTCAAAAGAATGTGTGGCCCATCCCAGTCTATGACCCTTTGACATGACGCTATCTCATACTGAAAATAGAAATAGTCCTTTGAGATTAAACATGTCATCCTTACCACGAGACCACAGTACATGATTCTCTGATGTAACACATTGGCAAACATAGCCCTAATGAAGCGAGGTGCACGAGCTCACTGACAAGTTCTGCTCATGAGTGCTTCCATGTGGTCGCACATTCACGTTCCATTTCCTCACACTACGACCGTGGTGGAAGTTGTCATCCTCTGTGTCACCACTAATGGAGAGTGTGAGGACTACTGCCGGTCGGCAGGTAGGTACCGGGTGGGTGGGGGCGTGTGGGTGTCTGTATAATGTCTGATGTCCACCATAAGATTAGGGTTAGGGTTAGGGCTAGGGTTATTTTTAGGTATGTAGTTAGCTTTACAGCTGTAGGGACATTGGAATACCATTCTAACCCTAACCCCAACCCTAACCCTACATTGGTAATACATTGCACACACACATATGCACTCACATGCACACACACATACACATGAGCATGCACACACACACACACATACACAACACGGGGTGGCAGGTAGCTTAGTGGTTAAGAGCGTTGTGCCAGTAACCGAAAGGTCGCTGGTTCTAATCCCCGAGACGACTAGGTGAAAAATCTGTCGATGTGCCCTTGAGCAAGGCACTTAACCCTAATTGCTCCTGTAAGTCGCTCTGGATAAGAGCGTCTGCTAAATGACGTAAATGTAACACTGAGCCATGCCGACATGGTCTCTCTGGACACTTGTGGCATCAGGGCCAACTCTCAGTGGCAGGTCACCTCGGAAACTTCTCTACCTACTTCCTGCAGAGTCAGCAGGACCAAGGCGTTCTCAACTCTTTCCCTCCACTGTCTGTCACTGAAACTAATAGGTAGAAGAGAGAATGTCTGTAAGGTTCTGCATGTGCTTAAACTGCAGACACTATAAAAGAAGACAATAGGTTTGAAAGAGATTAATAATTTACCAATCACTACTTTTTGCTTCATTTTCAAATTAAAAAGCATGGTTTGAGATAAGCTTTTATGATGTATATTGATAAATGAGGTTTGGAGTTAATCTGGATGCCAAACAGCACATGTCATCCACATACATTTGGCAATAAGAGCTTGCCACAGGTGTTTCCTTATTGTTGTCATTGGGCCTACCTTATCTTTTCAATATTGCATTATGCTTATTATTGTGGACTAATAGTCTGTCTACTTTGAATACATGTATATCCTTGATAAACGTTACAGTTATTGAATAAAAAAATACATTACATACATTGAATTATAACAGGCTAGATTTTACTTGTTTAAGTAAACCATGATAGTCACCTATAATAAGTTCCCCGTTTACTATCAAATATAAATAAAAAAGGCCTAGCCTATCGCAGTAATAATAGATTGGGGCACAAAAACAAACAAATTTGTCATGCAAATTCAGCGTCCTGGCCAGCTGCATGGTGGATATGTTTGCGTGCCTGCTTTGGGAAAGAGAGACAAGAGCAAGTCCCCTAAGTCGATGCCTGAGCTAATTGCTGAACGTGTTAATGCCAAGTAGTGGGCCGAGGTTACAGCAATAGGATCAATGTTTATTGTGTGGACGAGCCGGTAATTGAGACTGAATAAATTCAAATTAGAGTTACATCGTTTACATATGAGTGGAATTAGGCCTACTGGGACTTATTTAAACCCTTCTGCGCTAAAGTTGCAGGTGTGTAACTGGATTTAAGATGTAATTAGGCTACATATTCAGGTCTTGGTTACGTAGGCCTACACACCCTTTTTCCCCTCACTAAACAGACTGTTGTGAAAATGTAGGCCTATGGCTTATTTTTCGATATTTTGTACATGTGTAATGACACTTATTAGCCTAGTGAATTTTCGTTATGACAATCACGAACAGAAAGAGCAGAGAAATGAACGGGTCAGTATCCTAACTTAAACACGTTTTTATTCCTCAGTTTAAACTGTGAAATAAAGTCGACATAAAAGCAGTATATCTCAGTTCACATGTTCCATTAATTCACCCAAGAAAGACTAACATCTCCTTGAGTGTTATTATCTCAAGGACATCCACATTAACTTATCCACACTCGAATTCTTACATTCCAAAGGGTGAGAGAGAACTTGAGAATGGCATGGTCGAAATGGTTGAATAAGCAACATCAATAACGCGTTTACAAACCAATAATAAAGAAACGCGGTTCTTGTGTGTGTGAACTTGCAAAGTTCTTTTGGAATCTCTTTTTGTAATAAATTGTTGTGAGTCTCAGGTGAAATCGTCTGCAAACAAATGAATTCAAGCTGGTCCTTATGAACAATGACTCGAGGGTGACTGGTCATTGTAGCAAGCACATAAAACCCTGGATTCCAGCAAACTTTTTGTGCTGGTTTAAAACGAGCTCTTTTCATTTTTCGGTCTACCTCTGGCCAGGCTAAGTCCTTTCTTCCCCTTTTAATCCTTCCCTTTATTTCTGAAAAACACAAAACCAGGTTCCACGCAGTGCTTTAGTAGCTAAAAGTGAAAGAGCTGTTTTTTTCAGAGCTGAGCTCTGAATCGCTCTGGAAAATTGGTTCTTCTGAATAAGTGAAGGAGGAAAAACGTTTAATAGGATCCAAGGGAGGTTCTGCTCTTGCAATCTGCTCCTTAAACAGGTGGAAATTGGACCTTCTCAATGATACAAATAGTAAGTAGCCTATAAACCAGCATGTAAAAGCTATTCCATCTCCAAGGATTAGCAACTCGCAATGAAAAAATTGAGACTGGTCAAACCGGAGGACCCAAATTGTTAATCAAGTTAAACAACCTCTGAATCTGAATAATAGGCCTCATAAATTGTGAATTTTAGCAAAGTCAGAAGCATAAAATCTGGAAATGAGTTGTATGGTCTAATTCACTGTGTAGTTCCTTGGATGTAGCCTAATAGTTGCATTATGAAAATGAATGCACTCACTAACTGTAAGTCGCTCTGGATAAGAGCGTCTGCTAAATGACTAAAATGTAAAAAATGTAAATATTCCCATTCAAAACATGGTAGCCTGAAATAAATCGAATAAAATTAGAATAGTAGCCTATTTCCTAAAAACAGTAGGCCTAATTGAGTGTTGTTAGGCAATAACAACAACAACAAGAACAACAAACAAATAATAATAACACCATCAATAATAATAATAATAATAATAATAATAATAATAATAATAATAATAATAATAATAATATGTAGCCAACAAATAATAACAAACACATTGTTCAAATTATCATTATCAAATGGCGCTCATCTTTTTCTTTTTTTCGAGAAAGGAATACATCATAGTTATTCGATTAGAGAATGGCTGGTGGTAAGAGGCGGAGGATTTGAGGATGGAGACATAAATAATAATCTGTAATAACTGTCATGCATACCACCCCATGGCAGTATATAAGTGGGCCGCAGGAGAAGGGACAGGCCCGGTGAATGCGTTTCCTTGTCACCCTGATACGAGCTAGTTCATGTGACGTCAGCTAAATGCAAGAGACAGTGATCTCGCGCTGATGAGGAAGTCCGCTTCCAAAATGTGACAGAGCAGTCACGCTGCTATCTCGGAATAGGCTACATCTGCCGTCGCTTTACAAAAAGGTAAACTTCAACATTGACTATCAGATTCTCAGAGGTGCTGAATAGGAATGAACTCACTGCTTTTTGTCTTTTTCTTTTCCCTAACGACCTCTGTAATGTCCTGCTAATTTTGTATGTACTAGTTAATGAGCATTAATCTGGTACCCCTGGACGCTATTGTTCCAGGGATGCCCATTTGAATGCAAATGAGTGACATTGTAATACCAAGGTGCTTATTAAACTGATGTGTGTCCTGTCTTTTCTGGAATTCAGGAGGCGAGGACAGGGCGGCTGGTCGGCTGCTGCTCACACCAAGTTCGGTACACAAAATGGCAAGTTCTCTCCCTTTTGGAACGGTGATGTCTTGCCCACGACTCGACAGCGGTAGGAATGGAGCGTCTGCCGCCCCAAAGCCGCTGGCCTTCTCCATTGACCGGATCATGTCCAAGACCTCGGAACCAAAAGGCAATTTGGATGAGCGGCGAGGAGTGGAGTCTTCGGGGGGAAAGAAGATGCTCGGTTTCTGCTCACCTATACCGTGCATGATCCCCCTGCAACCTTTTAGCTATGACTTACAAGCCAAGGCGCTGATGAACTACTCCGAATTTTGGAAATCTAATTTCAGAGGAACGCTATGCACTTCTGCCGCGATGTGCAAAGCCAACTGCGGAATGTGTTGCAAAACGGACTCGGGGTTGAAGCACTCTTTATTACCCGGGAGCAGGGTGATTAAACCCCAGGTCATCCATCAGGCGGTGGCGATGCCCACCAACGGCTCTTTTTACTATTTCAACTACCTGGACTCTGCTTATCACCATTCTGAGCTGCTAACCGGACACTTGTTTTCCTCTGCCCTGGCCAACTCTCAAGCCCAGGCTTCTCTCAGTGCGCACCAGAAACTGCTACTGCTGGAGAATGCCAAACTCGCTAGCGCTTCGGCGGAGAAGTTTCCGACACCTCAGTACCCACACAAGGAGCATCTCCCTGGCCAGCTCGACCAGATAGTGAAAGAGAACCACAGCCTGAGCGCGGAGAAAAATGGAGTGAAAGCGCATAGCAAGCTCAACAACAGCTCCATGGACGGAAAACCTAAAAACTTCACCTGCGAAGTGTGTGGAAAGGTAAATTATTTTTCATTCAGTAAAACGAATCGTAAAAAATAATAATGATACAATTGTTATTGTTATTTGATTTGCAAATCACTTCCATTTTCTCTAAACAAAAACATATAGGCCTGGACAATTACTCATTTTTTAACTTATTTTAGATGTTTTGTGTGCAAGAATAGGCGTACCCCATTTATTTGGAAATTAAATTGAAGCTGAATTGCTAATTTCACATGATCAAAACACCTCACAAATGAAAACAAGAAAAGTAAAAACGAGATTGTTTATTTTCTTCTGCAGGTGTTCAATGCTCATTATAATTTGACACGACACATGCCAGTGCACACAGGCGCGAGGCCGTTCGTGTGTAAAGTGTGCGGAAAAGGATTCCGTCAGGCCAGTACATTGTGCAGACACAAAATCATCCACACACAGGTGAGACATATCACATTTCACTCGTTTATAACTCTATTAATTATATATGACTGTATTATAAACTCCCTCATGATTGCTTACAAATAATAGCCTAATATTTATTTTTCTTCATTCTTTATCAGGAAAAGCCTCATAAATGCAACCAGTGTGGCAAGGCGTTCAACAGGAGTTCAACGCTGAACACTCACATACGAATCCATGCCGGGTACAAACCATTCGTCTGCGAATTCTGTGGGAAGGGATTTCATCAGAAAGGTAATTATTCACAATTAAAAGCCTTTTCAAAATATTAATCATATGTCCTCTTATGCATATTTGTACACAAACACGCAATAAGGGGGGGGGGGGGGGTATGGCCTATGTTTTGAGATTAAGATAACACCGATCATATGATTTTCAGACTGCATTATGAATTAAATTAATATTCTAGACACATATTCATTAAATAGCATACTGTAAGTAATTGTATGACAATAGCGATGATGGTTGTGATTTTATATCGCAGTTATAACCCAATGATAATAAGATTAGGTCCAAAAGTAACAGCAAAGGTACACAATTATTATTTAGAAGCCTATTGGTAAAAATGGATTCCCAGTGCAGCGCTCTGATGATCCAGAAGCATCAATCTAAATAGGACATGTCACTTTACACTAACTAACTCTCCATACAATACGCTTAAATTCGCCATGGGTCAAGAGACAGACCTTTCCCAGGTTTATAATCCGACAGTTTTCAGTTGTTGTTGCGTTTGATTTTGACAAAGTTTGACAACTTCTTGACTTCGACATGCAAAGCGCTGATTAATGAAGGCTGTAGAATGGAGCGCCTTTGTGGAGAGTAACTTAATGATGAACTATGGACCTTGAGGAGAAAAAAGGAACTCAGTTTGTGTTCCCTTTCGTGTATGCTGTTCATTTTATTCGCGATGTTCATTTTTAGTCATTGAATTTTTCAATTTCAGGAAATTACAAGAACCACAAGCTGACGCACAGCGGAGAGAAACAGTACAAGTGTTCTATCTGTAACAAGGCCTTCCATCAGGTCTACAACCTAACCTTCCACATGCACACGCACAACGACAAAAAGCCCTTCACGTGCGGAACCTGCGGGAAAGGCTTCTGCAGAAACTTTGACCTGAAAAAACACATAAGGAAGTTACACGACAATAATTCATGTAGGCCTATATCTGCAGCGACCGATTCTTCCAGGGGACCCGAAAGCTGAGTTTTTCATTTGATTTGGAAAGTCTCCTTTACACTTAAATTGACAGTTTATTATGACTGCACTAGTGCACATTTCTATGATTTTTTTCTCTCCAGTTTTTAGTTATCAAAAATTGTTAAAAGAAGGAAAACTATAAAGCATAAAAAACATTGAGACACTTGATAGCCTGATTAAATACCATTTTGTGTTTGAGGGTTTTTATTATTCGTTTTTTTTTTTTTTATAATAATGAGGATGAGAATTTTGCACTGTTGCATTGCAGTAAATCTGACCCTGAATGGATTAATGTTATAAACATTTATGAAGGAAATCATGACTATTTGCTCAACCCATGGGGACATTCAGGAGTACATAGTTTTTCTTTTCCCATTGCATAACGTGTGAAAATCGAATTGTAAATAATATGAAAATAAAATATTATTTAAAAGTGTTTTACCGTGGGCGCATTTTTATAAATTGCAATGTAAATGTAAATTATAAATTGCAATGTAAATGTAAAATTGAATGTTTAACCATCTCAACTGTTGCCATTTATTAGTAGGAATATTCTAAATATATATATGAGTTAAGCTTAGGCCCCTAGGCTAGTCAATTATTTGAAAAGGGCTATAACATATATGATAACGGAATTGTATTGACTTTGATAACCCTTGGCTTCTGTCATATTGTAATAGGCCAACATTTCAAACGTCTTCCATATCAAGCTGCATGCCAACCAATAAGTTGCAAAGACAGTGATCCATCTGATATAGGCCATTTCATCCTCTCAAATATCCAGATGTTTGCTTTTTACACAGAAAAGCTTTGCAAGCAGCTGTTTTGCTAGCACCAATAAGTAGGCTAGTCTTAATAGCCTACTGGTAAGAATACATTGCTTCTGTTCCTTGGATGAGTTCAGTGTAAACACTTTTTGTCAGACAAGAGGCAAGACTCTAATGATGCTACACTTGACTTCCGTGTAATGGCACAAATTATTAGGTATAACATGGACTCTTGAAAGCGAATTACATTAATCATCTAAATGCCCTCGAGGGGAGGCTTCGAAGCAAGACGTGTTCATCAGAATATGAATAATAAAGCACTTGGCCACATCACCCACCCCCGTCCTCATCTGTCCAACATTAATAAAGGATTACGTATTCTGCACACGGCTCCTGGAACAATATTACCCTTGCGCGCTAACAGAAATTCTGATGAGAGACGGGCGCGTGCTCCCAAATCTCGGGCTCCCAATTAGAACGTTTGTAATTACGCGCCATGCCCAGGGACCGGTTAGAAGGCTAATATTACGAGTTGAATGGCTTGTTCACCCCTGGTCCCCTCTGTTCCCGCTAATTCACACGCAAGCTGCTCCAAAGACCAGAAGATACCAACTAGTGTGTTTTTCCCAAAACCATTATTGTTATATTGTCAACCCGATATTTTCAGTTAAATGCACTGCAAATGCACATGTTTTGTCACATCTCATCGACCAATACTTTTATATAGCCTAAAGGCTCACATTAATGTTCAACATGTAGGCTCTATATGTTCTGCCTGCGGCTATGGAATCCTGACCTGCTCTACCGCACCTGCTGTCTCTACCTCTGAATGCTCCGCTAAGAAAAGCCAACTGATATTTACTCCTGAGGTGCTGACCTGTTGCACCCTCTATAACCACCTAAACTATTATTTGACCCTGCTAGTCATATATAAACGTTTGAACATCTTGAAGAACGGTCTGGCCTTAATGGCCATGTACTCACTCTTATAATCTCCATCTAGCACAGCCAAAAGAGGACTGGATACCACTCAGAGCCTGGTTCCTCTCCAGGTTTCTTCCTAGGTTCCTGCCTTTCCAGGGAGTTTTTCCTACCCACCGTGCTTCTACATCTGCATTGCTTGCTCATTGGGGTTTTAGGCTGGGTTTCTGTATAAGCTGTTGATGTAAAAAAGGCTTTATAAATACATTTAATTGATTGATTGATAGGCATATCGTTTGATATTTCACATCCTACCGCTATTTGTTGGCTTGAACATAATTTGAACACGCCTGCATAATTTCCAGACATTGTGCGTAATTCCAGTTTAGGCTACCGAGTTTTCAATGTAAATTCAAGAAAACCACGTCATATTGCATCATAAATGTTTTTAAAAGGCTTTAATTGTGCTATGAAAAGAATAACAACTTTCTCAAATGTATAGGCCTAACAACGTTCGTTATTTTCCCTCATTTCTTTTTATTTGTAGGTATGCCTAGGCCATTTTCCTACAAACATTCCAGAGCACTCTCAAATAATCAACTTTATTTGACTACAGTCAATAAGTTGCGGATAGGGGGTTGGCCTTTTCAGAAAAAGTTCATAATCAAATTCCAACACAAACATACCAGCTAGGATATCACGGGGTCAGTTATGCCCAATTAAACAATAAGTAGGCAACGCTATCAAGTTGGTATCCCCCTCCTGCACGGTCATTCTGGAACATGTCCACACATTCCACACCTACAACCTTTTTGGGTTCAGTTTGACTGGCCGAATAATCAACAGTTCACCCAGTATGTCAAGTGTTGCCAATTAAACTTATTTTTATAAGTCACTGAGAAAACTATCTTTGATTTGTGTTTTGTAGGCTATTATTATATTTTAATTTTTTTAACAACTTTAGGCACATTGAATTCAGTCTCCATTGATCCATCTTTGTTAGAAATAGTCTATAGCTGGGAAAATATGCATGGGCGAGTTTCTGAAAAGAAATGTTTGTGTCGAGAAAAGCGTCAGGGCTATGCGCAAGATTGTCCGTCTTGTCCAAAGCCAGAGAAAAGAGGGCTGGAGAGTAAACAACCTAAAGGCAGCCGCGTTGCCCTTTTCTCTGCACTTACCTCTCAAACATCTGAGCAACCAGTTTCGCTTCTAGAAACATGTTAATTGACAACGGAGCTCATTACTGTGTGCACATGTAACGCAGCACGAGAGATTACCGACACAAGAGCGCATTAATCAACTGTCAACAATCGAGTACATCTACACGACCAGGATCACCCAAAATTGAGGCATTTACAAGCCACAAAAGGCTCGGCTGAGACAGGAAGAAAAGAAGAGCCAGACTTTTGTTTGGCAATTCAATTGATTGTAAATTGAAGATTAACGTGAGTAGCTCTAGCGTTTTTTAAGGGCTAAGAGGAGAGAAAGGGACCAATTAAGTCCACCAAATGTTAACTACACCAGTTTTCCCCATTTAGCCCAAATGAAATTCTAATTAAACCGTCCCTCGCCATCATTTTGGAAAGCAATTTATTTCGCTGCTGAAGGAGCGTGCGGGCTGGTGGCGCCCCTCGTTATAAGAAGCATTGGCTCTTGTCACAAAGAGCTCACAAGACGCATTCTAAAATGCCAAGGGGGAAGTTAATGAGCATCAGGCAAAATCCTTGGATCTATTCCTGGAGAATGGTATTGGAAAGATGGAATCAGCCAGCCAACTACATGATGTTCTGGACACTTCAAAAAAAATGTTCAAAAGGGCAGTCAGCAATAATGTTGTTCTAGCTGCTCAAAATATGCAGTCGTTACTCGACTGGAAAATGATAGGATTGGAACATAAGCTTACATATGACACCACGGTAGTAATTGAATATTATAGGAAACGTTATTGTAAAAAACAAATAAACAAAGTTGTAATGCACATTTGGTTTCAAATATCTCCTTAGATCTTGGATTTTCAACTTCTCTACTGTTTTATTTTCGTTACTCGACTGGAAAATGATAGGATTGGAACATAAGCTTACATATGACACCACGATAGTAATTGAATATTATAGGAAATGTTATTGTAAAAAACAAATAAACAAAGTTGTAATGCACATTTGGTTTCAAATACCTCCTTAGATCTTGGATTTTCAACTTCTCTACTGTTTTATTTTTTGTGCAGTAGCCTAGCCTATTACACCAGCAAATTGGAGTGTACATGCAAACACGGCAATCATGTTATACATTCATTAAAACTAAACAGAAAAAAATACACACCAAAACTAGTCAACATGTACTTTCCCCACTAAATCTGATTAAAATCCTTCTATACAAATTTTACACAATGAGGTTATATCAATAGGGTCATGACCTACACACACACACACACACACACACACACACACACACACACACACACACACACACACACACACACACACACACACACACACACACACACACACACACACACACACACACACACACACACACACACACACACACACACACAGTCTTGCGCAGCTAACCTTGTGGGGACATCCAATTCAGTCCCATTCAAAATCCCTAACTCCTAACCCTAAAACTAACCCTTACCCAACCCTAACCCTAACCTTAACCCTAACCCTAACCTTAACCCAAAAACCTAACCTTAACCCTACACCTAACCCTAGCTCCTAACCCTAACCCTAAAACTAACCCTAGCTCCTAACCCTAAACCTAATTCTAACCCTAACACTAATTCTAACCTTAACCCTAAACCCCCTAGAAATAGCATTTGATCTTGTAGGGACCAACAAAATGTCCCCAGTTGGTAAAATGCTTCTTGGTTTACTATTCTTGTGGGGACTTCTGGTCCACACACACACACACACACACACACACACACACACACACACACACACACACACACACACACACACACACACACACACACACACACACACACACACACACACACACACACACACACACACACACACACACACACACACACACACACACACACACACACACACACACCCTTCCTTGGTACGTCTTGGCTCGTCAAGGGCATGAGTGGGAGAAGGTGCTTTGTAGCTTAGAGGTCTGTGGGTGCTGGGCTTGTGAGAGCCAAGTGTGGGCTCTGCCCCGCTGGAATCACATCACTGTCTGTCAGTCTCCAGAGAGTGACCTCCACCCAGGACCAGTCCATCCGTCCGCCCGCCCGCCCTCAGAGCCCAGGGCCAAGGAGCTGAAGGGGACCCTCTGTCCCCTTGCCCACTCCCTTCACCTCCATCTCTGGGAGGAAAAGGAGAGAACCCTGACCCCCAAACAATCTGCTCCACATTTCCAGCCTCATCCTCTCACCGCTCTGACGTGCACTGACAGCAATGAGATTGGTTTCCATGAGGAGTCATGAGTGAATACTAATGTTGGTCACTGTCAAAAACAATTAAGTAGATAAACAATACAAAATTAATAGGCAAACATACAACTGAATATTAACACATTGCTATAAATACATAAATATGTGAATAATAAATTAGTAGTGTTTTCCATCACACCCTGCTGAGACTGAGCTCTATTCTTGTGGAATTAAATCAGGAGCTCTCATTGTTGGTTAGGATCACTAATTCTGGGATGTCCGGTGCTAATCTCTTTGACCTGGGTTGGCCCTGCTGGGAAATGTCCACTACTGCTGTGCTTAAACACGAGTGCTAATGATGTACTTCTCCAGAGCCATGCACAGCAGCCGTTCCCACAAATAAGGCCCCTTATAATGAGATGCTACAAGTTGTGTCACATTA